CCATAGACATGCATCGATTGCCGCCGGCCGCTGGTGTTCGTAGAGAAGCATAGGAGAGCAGGAGGGTATCTTCCTATTCCTCTAGACTCTCCTGAAACACTAGCCATGCGCGTTTTAGCGCCTCGATCACATCATCACGAAGTCTGACGCTGACTAACTTGCTAAGCAAGAACTGGTTTGGTTGGGATGAAATGGGAATGAACCGGTCATCAGTTTTCTCCATTTCATCTTTCCCTCTTGTGATCTGTTTAGTTTCCTGTGATTTGTAGAATTCACCAACATCTTGCACCTATTGGACTCTATGGCGAATCGACGGCAATTCTTTAAGGATAACCCCGCAACGAAGACTATCACATTTCAGAGGCCTTTCTGATGTCGTTGAACTATGTATAAAGAAAGGAGCCAATGTGAACGATAAGGAACACAAGCAAAGCTATACTCCGCTCATGTTTGCAGCACTTGCCGGTTGGTTTCAGGCCTCTCCTTATTTCTCTGCATTTTTTTTCTCCACGTACGACAGCTTTTCGGATTATCTGACTAAGTAGTGGGCAGGGAGGAGGTGGTATGGGGAACATGGTGGCGTCTTTATGTCTGATGCACGAAACTAGTCCGCGTGGACTCTGGTTGTCTCCACACTGCTAGGACCGAGTCTTGGGTAGGGGACGGGACATAGTCGCGTCGCGTCATGCGCCCTCTCCTCGTACGCCCGTCCATGTTTGTTTTTCACCATAAGCGAAATCTTCAGTAAACACGATTTTCCGCCAATATCTCATAAATAATGTTAACCACCATTAATGACGTAGGAAATAATCAAGCATTATTTTGGAGAAGATATTTTTTAACGGCTGTGATGTTATTGAGCTGCTAGGTTTTATCGTTTTTGAAATTCACTCGCACCTGCTTTCGTGCTCTTCTCCATATTGAGCATCATTCAAGGTAGACCAGACATCTGCAAATATTTGATGGATAATGGCGCACGCTCTTATTCAACAAACTCAATCGGAAAAACTGCAAGCGAACTCGCGGCCTTCGTTGGTGAGGCGATCTTTGAACTTTGTTTAGTCTTTCACTTTCTCATCCATGGCAATCTTTTTTTTGCAGGGCAGCATGAATGTGTTTCTATAATCAACAATCATGTGAGCATCGATGAAATCGAAAAGTTTCTTTGCCCACAAGTTGCATCGGCCCCTACGGAAACATATCCGGAAAATCTTTCTCGATTTATACACAGAATGTGCAGCTGGCACCAGGTGAGCTTGTGGTTTACCTTAACTATTTGAATTTCAGTGTTTTTGGCTTTTAATCTTATTAAGTCATTCTGCAGGAGTACCCTTGCACAGTAAGCTTTTTGGGAAAAGAAAAGTGTGTTCGGCTTCGAGGGGGATATGGCACTTCCGTCACCTTTTCTTAGTTCATGTTCAACGCCAAGGCTCACATTGGTGAGGTCTGAGAACTCTTGTGAAGCTGCGAAAGCAAGTGAGCCACTAAGGGGAGGAATCCGCAGGTCTTCACGATATGGCTGCACAAGCTTTGCCGACTACCATACGCGCCCCTACCAAGCCGAACTGTGCCCTCATCGTGCTCATACGCGAGCCTGCAAGGACACATCAAGTTCCAAATTAAATTTCTGTAGAGCTGGCTGCGCGATTGTCCCTATATTTCTTCAGCAGTAAATTTTCAGGTCCATCCTGTTGCTATTACTCTGGAACTAGGTGGATATGAAGGACGCTGTTAAGTATCAGAAGAAGGTTAGTTGAGGTTTGCTTTGAGACTTCGCTTCTCAGTTAATCTATTAGCGGAAGCAAGCATTTATGGTTTTTTTCAACCCCGCTCGTGCTCTGCACCGTAAAAAGGCGAGCGAATGCTGCAGAAGGTTCCCTGAAATCCGTCAAAAGGGACGTGGAGAATTCGTGGCAGAAGATGAAAGAAGGAAGTCGACTGGCCTCTCTTACAATGTGTTTCGAATTCCCACAACGATTCCGCGCATTCTTTCTTGAAAGTCGCAGAGTGGATGCAGCGGGGGGGGGGGTAATGAAACCCTAAAAAATTCTTATCAATGAATGTGCATTTCAAAAATCATTTTCTATAGATATTGTATGTTGTGGATCGTGTATTCGAAAGACAACTGCGATGCAAGGAAGGCAATGAGGTAAGGTTTTATTGCTCATTCTACACGATTTCTATCTAGCGCGGTCTGGCGACCAAATCTCGGTCCCGCACTCGCTCAGGAAAACCAAGCCTTACCTTCCGGGGACGGTGAATTGGTACCAGATTCGTCTGGGAGGATAAAACACTGACTTGTACATCGGCTGGCCCCGCAAGTCATTGTATAGGCCATCGCATTCAATAAGCCACTACGATTCTGAATGGAAGTAGAATGCGTGCCGCATCCCACAAAGGGATTGATAAACGGCGAATTCTTTAAATTTTACTTTCTGAATTATTCAGGTGATGTCGTTGAAAGTATGGATTATTCTTTTCGTGCTGCGAGAGATCTACAAGTTTATCGCTGAATTGATATCATCAGGCAAGAGTGTTCACGATGCATGTATTGTGTATGCAAAATTCCTATTGAAATGGGAACCTGGAGAACAAGTGAGGTAAGTATTCACCAGTCCAGTACCATATGTGGTTTTCGCAGTTTATCTAAATTTGGTTAATTTTCAACACAGCTGAGTTCCATTTACTCCCAATAAGTTGCTGATAATATTCCTCTCTACTTCGAAACCTCACCACATTGTTCTGACTTTGACTGGCTAACCCAGGACACTTGTTACCCTAGGGAGGTACCAGCAGAAGATCTCACAGTTGAATTTAGTAGTTGTTTGGTGACGACCCCTTCCACCCGCCCTCCTCGACGGTAATTTTATCACAAGAATGCTGAGTTGTGGGCAAAAGTCGTGCCCCAGGCGGGAGTCGAACCCGCACCTCACGCTTTCCGGGCGAGTGCGCTATCCGTTACGCCACCAGGGCCGCTTTTACCCTCTCAGCTTAACGGCTTTTATGATAACGATATGATATGACTTTTATGATATGACTTTTGCCCACAACTCAGCATTCTTGTGATAACATTCGGAACGCGTACTGCGGCGTTAAACAGCAGTTATCATAACAAAACAGCTTGGTAAAATTTTGGGAAAAAAGTGAAACATTTCGAGAGGGAAAGCCAGAAAAGCGGGCTTCTTAACTTGGGAGAAGTCAAGCTGGTAGGTAAAATGGGAAGGAAATATCCTACCAGAATATCAAATTGAGGGGGTTCGTATCTTGCAAAAATTTCGGCCACCGATCGGACGTATCCTGGGCGAGCCAAAATGAACCATCTTTCTTTTCCGAGTGTAATGTTCAACGTTTTTTGTCCTTCTTGCTTTTTACTGACAACATTCTGCTGAAGTTATGAATCATTCAGTGACCTCGACGCTTGTCTAAGACCCTGTCCTTTCGCATCACATCTTAGCCTTTTCGGGCCTATGAAGGTTCAATCATGGCCCATCGTAAAAATTTCCGAATAGTATTGTAATCCATTTTAATTGCAGGAAGAATCAAGAAACACTGCTCAGAAACGCGATCGCTGCTTTTCCTTATCATCATTCTCTGCTTTATGAGACACTGGTTAAGGTGAGTAATGAGTTTCGCCATTCTGTAAGTTTTGGATGTGATGAGGTGAACTGAGGATGCAAATGCGCTAGAAAGGGGGACTCAAAGTGCTCCTTGTCCAAAGTTAGGATCGCTGTAATAGAAATGAAGGTCTTTGCAAATAGCAAGGATGGTTGACTCGATTTCGTCGGATAAAAGGAGTCTCGCGTTATGGTGAAGTCTATTTGCACAGAGAATTCTTCCAATGCACCTACCAACGAACTCTCCAATGGAGCTCGCTTATCTGGGTTTCTATAGGGTACCAAACCTTAAGCGCATTCACCAGTTCACCAGTTGCCAAGTCGAAGCTTCATTCTAATTTACAGTACCGTAAAAGTTTATCACTAGTGGTCATTACGATTAGCACTTTTACCTTCACTTCTCTTGGGTGAACAACGCCGTATCGTGCTGGAAAGAGGAGGGGGTTTTTAGATGAATCTTCCTAATCGGTTGTGAAGCAACGAGGGCGGGCGTACTCGTCACAACAAATTTCCTAAGAGATGTCCTTATATTTGTTATGATCACAGGCGCATAATGGTACAGAGGGGAGGGGGATTGTCCTCTGTCTCTAGAGCGATAACTTCGAGGTGCTTTTCAGAGGAACAGTATATCAAGCACTTAATTTAGGGGAATTTATTCCTCCTTTCCTTAGATGACGTAGATCAAATTTTAGGCCATGTCCAAAACGCCTTTTGGTGAAAGGCCCACTGCTTTTGAATACATCGTGCAAGGTCTGTTTGGTCAGCGATTAGTAATGGTCAGCAAGTTTTGTGGGACGTGTGGAGCATTCACAGCTAAGAAGCGTTGTCCGAAGTGCAAGGTTTGCCACTTGTTTATTGAGGGTACAGTACGAGTACGGTACGGTAGTATGTGTTTCTACTAGATCCTGTTTCCAGTTATGCTATTGCTGTGTTGACTGCCAAAAGTTGGACTGGCCAATTCACAAGTTGTGTTGTGAATCTATCAAGACGTGGAACACGATCCCTGATGCAAAAGACACTATTTCCTTGGACGGATATCGCAAGCTACATTAACGAAAGTACGACAATGAATATTGATTTGAAATGTACCGGTTTTTCTGTGAGTTGATACTCGCTAAGATGTTAAATCCTTTTATTCTTGTCATTGATTCTTTCATATGTTCTTCTCACTCAAAAGAGTTTTTTTCGGTTGAATGCTGTTCTAATTCTCAGTTTGATTAAGATATCCCACTTTGTACTAGTCATGTTCCCCTTTTTGAATGGATTTCAGTCTAGAGCGGACCACATTTCCCGCGATTTGTTTTGTTGCATACTCATATTGGTGCCGTTGGTGTTTTGTTAATATCTTGCCGCTAGTCAGGTTCACCTTTCAGATGTTTATATGCAGAGTCAAATTGGATGTTTTGATCACATGTTCAGGTTTCTACTGTTCTAATTTTCAACATGATTTCGACATTTTGTTAGCGTCTGCATTTGATGATTAATCCTAGTAAAGTTCCTTAAGATATCCTTGTTTAGAAGCAGCACAGTTTTGTTTTAGCTGGAAGCTACCGGAAATATTTGGTCTTGGTGAAAAATTGGAGATATTCAGGTTTTTGAAGGTGATGTTTCTGGAAAAAATTAATCATGTAACGGGGGAACGAGAATGGGAGGTTGCCGAAGAGGACCATGATCTGGCGCAAGAGATTGCGAGGTGCGACTTTACACAGATTTGGTTTTTCAACATCTTCCTCAACGAGATTTCATCTTGAAGATAAACGAAAGTATCTCTGTTACTCTGTTCTGTTTGGACTGGTTTCGATGCAGGTGTGGAGGTGCGTAGGGTAGCGTTAGGTAGCACTAGGTGATTCAGTGTCCAGTGCATCGCTCACCAAAAAAAGTGTTTGGCAGAACCCTACTGCAGTTAATCATCCCTTTCCCATGGATCGGAAAA